GCCTTTTTCCCCCACCGTCTTTCCCCCCGCGCAGTCCTTCCCCCGCATCGCAATGGATGGATTCCATCCACGAACGGACAGAGCGGGACCAGTTCTTCGTCTCGCATGGTCACNCACTCCGATGCCTTTTTCCCCCACCGTCTTTCCCCCCGCGCAGTCCTTCCCCCGCATCGCAATGGATGGATTCCATCCACGAACGGACAGAGCGGGACCAGTTCTTCGTCTCGCATGGTCACGCTTTTCTGACTTCGGGTTTCGTCGCTTTTTAAAACTATTTCCGGCCGCGAGCTACGTTCCCGGTACTTTCAAGAATTCAATCCAATTCCAAGCGCCACCGTAAGTAGAACATTTTCCACGTGATTCCATGCGTCGAAAATGAATTCGATATTGGATAAAATTATTTCCATGTGAAAGAGGTCTTGAAGGTTGTGAAGATTCAGCATAAACATTTTACACGAAATCCTCTTGCCAACTTTTCCTCCCCTTTTATGATTTCATGACTGCATGGATGAAAACTCCGGAGCACAAAAAAATTGAGCTTCGGCTCACGGAAGTAGAGATGACATCAACGGCGGAGCCCTTCGCGGAAACGATTCCCGGAGGAAGCAATTCCGTGCTTCCTTAATCGCCGGAAGAACCTCTCGAGCGTGAAGTCATAGGACCGCGCGGAACAAAAACCGGCAGCCTACAATTACGGAAATACGAAATTAGTAGTGACGTGGGGCATCTTCTTCCTGATTTATGCGATTGTTCAATCACAGGAAATTCCTACATTACTTATTATGCGCCACTTATGCGCCAATTATGCGCCACTTATGAACAGGATCATATCTGACAACTGAAGTACGACCGAAATACGAGAAGACAAATGACGCTATGAACGTAAGTGCACTACGAACTAAACTCTCAAGCGTCACATACGCACAACAAGAATATAATACCCGAATGTATAAAGAATTTTGAAATTAACTTAGAACAAAAGAAAAACATGCAAGAAAACTCTACATGAGATTATATAGGCATTGCATGAAGTCTCATCGCAAAAACTCCGCTTGCGAAAAAAAAACCTACATCCCTAAAAACAAGAGGGAAGAAAATATCATCAAGAAAAATGTAACAGCCTCATCAGCCGTCATTCGTCTTCGGGTTGGCGGCCCCAACGCCAATGAATCCAAAAACACTCTCCATTCCTGATCAACGAGGAGTCGAGAATGCCCAGAAGAGAACACGTGGTTCAAGAGGAATGAGACGTGGGGGGGGGGGGGATCGAAGGGGAGAGGGGGGGGGGGGGAGAAAGGGAGGAAGCAACCTGCTGATCGATAGGGAGGCCCGGGGAGGACTCTACCCACTGGCTGGCTCACTGCCAGCTGGTACACAATATGCGCCAAAGACTCACGCTCAGCCCTAGCTTTCTTCCTTCCCATTTTTCTTCCCATTCTCCCCTTTCTTGCAGAAATATCTTGCAGATATTTCTTTGTGAAATACGTTCGACATGAACTGCCTACTAGTCCAGGTAATTGTGAATGCACCATTTACCTCATATGCGCAGTTCCTTCTGCTACCGTAACCCTTTTCACCTCTACGCCGATAATTCCGTACTTATTACGCTCTCAAAACAATTGTCCTATACTTTAATTCGAAGAGGTCAAAAGTTGTGGTGGTGGTGGCCGTGGCTGTCACCCCCAACGCGTGAGTCTATCATGCAATGCCTTTCCGGGTCATAGCCAGTCCATCCCCGGTCTAAAGCGCCAGGCTTACAAGGCTACGCCTTTCCAGTCCACATCACATACTTTAATTCCAAGAGCCCGAGAGTTGTGGTGGTTGCCATCCTGGAGCGCGAGGTCTACGAGACTATGTCACTTCATGACATAGGCTAGGCCATCCACACCTCAAAGCGCCAGGTCCATTAGGTTAAGCCATCCTTGGCCATGGGCTAGACCATCCACTGCTCAAAGCGCCAAGTCCATGGGGCTACGCTATACTAAGCCAAAGGCTTGGCGCCAGGTGCATCGGGCTATATCAATCTGAGCCATTGGCTGTGGCTCATCCTATTATTTCCATAGGCTGCATACTTAGGCTGCGGCAAGCAAAGGGTGTTACTAACTGAATGCGTGTCACGTTTTCACTGATCGACTGGAAGTTCTTCATTTGAATACATGCCTTGCTGAGGTGTTCTTTGCTGTATTTATTTTTTTTCCATCAGGTCAAAAGTCGCGGTTCGCGCCTTCGCTTCCACGCAATAGTTTTTTTGCATTTCATGAAAATTTTAACGCCCCTGGTACTTCTTTCTTATGGTGGACTCTTCGCGCGATCTCCGGCTCCTCTGAACCCCTTACGAGGGGGGTTCAAAAAGTTCTGTAACTTAATGATAAATTTCAAATTAATATATAATTTACAAGAAAAACAATTTAATCTATCGAAGAACCCACCGAGCATCTATGCATCGCTGCAGCCTCATCAGCTAATTATGGAGAGCCACAAGGTTCTCATATGCAGGGATAGTTTTTAGGGCTGAATACGAGGGTGGTTCAAAGAGTTATGCAAATCGGCATGCTCTTTGCAAACAGGAATGTTAACAATTGAAACGCCACCACCATCGAATGAATAGGAATTGCCCTGTAGATAAGCCCCGAGAAGAACCTCTCGTATTCATGCAAAGAGTTCAAGTGACTCAATCGAGCTCATCCCTATCGGCAGCTCGTGCAGTCGCCACTTCACCGATCAAATCTTTGAAGGTCGCCTAGAGACTCCCAGTCCTCATTCTATTTTAAATATTATCTGTGGACGAATTGGAATGTCCGGCTCTTCCTGCATCGCTCTGGACCCTCAAAAGAAGAAGTGAATCGCTCGGTAAAGCAAGTAATACCTCACGAGCAAAAACCGACCGCTACTCGAAAAACCCAGTCGATTTGATACTATCGCAACTAGAGAATACTTAATACTGAATAATATGAAGCGACATCCAGCTGCTCTCTATTCACGATTTGCTTCGGAACCTCATTCGGACGTCGCACTCCAACCGTGTTCCACATTCCATTTGCCCCTCTTCTTTTGCTTGGAAATCGTTCTTCGAATGAGCGAGCAAACCATATCCGTGGGTCACAGAAACAGCAGGAAAGCCTCTCTCCTCTCGGGAACAAAAAGGGTATCGTATCGATGACCAAGGTAACCTTATCGTGTCTAGCGCTCTCCTCTCGTGAAATCGCACCATCAGTAAAGAGAGATTCCCCTCGTACCATCCTGCTTTTGTTAACGGCAAATATTCCATCTCGAGAAAAATTAGTGAATTCCCCTGGAAAATACTAAAGAAAGCTCATTTCCTAAGAAGTGGTCGATTCTGTGAGTAAGAATGACGACTCTGACTCTCTGGACTCTGGCTAAGAAGAAGAAAAGGATCGTGATCGAGAAGAACGTGGACGATCACAATGGCCTTGCAAAGGACATCTCCTCGTCCTTCGCGACCGGACCCGAATGGTGTGATGTCAACGTTCTCATTCAAGGCACCAAATTCTTCTCTTGCAAAGGTATCCTCGCGGCCGTCTCTCCCTACTTTCGGCAGTTGTTCACGACCGACTTCAAAGACGTCCCCCAGAGTGAGGTGAAGCTGGAAGGATTCACGGAAATCGGGTTCAAGCCGGTTTGGGACTACATACACGAAACGCAAGTGGAAGTGGAAGGGGAGGAAGGAGCATTGGCTGCTTTTTAAGATGCGCATTTTCTCCGGATCAAACGTTTCTGCCAAAAAATAGTTGCCACCATAAAGACATTACTGGATTCGGAGAACGCCTTCCGTATCCTACAGGTTGCGGAGCAATACAAATACAAAGATTTGCAGGACGCTGCAGATGCAATCATTTCTCGCCGCTTCAGCGAAGTCGTCGTCACGCGGGACTTCTTGAGCATCTCCTTCGAGACCCTGTCTTCGTTCTTGGACAGAGAATATTTAGAAGTTTCCTCGGAGAAGGACGTGTACGAAGCGATACGGAAATGGATATATCACAATTCGAGTCGGAAACGCCATTTACCGGATCTACTGGACAAAATCCGCCTGCCTCTCCTACCGTACAAATACTTGAGGACAGTGCTTCTGAAAGACCGGATCATGTACGGAGATGCTCGATGCCTCGGTGCCATCACGGACGCCAGGGACTATCACGTTCCGGAGCTCCGCCATTACGTCCCGAAGGAGAAAACCAGACCACGAACGACGCACGAATATATTTTGAGCATGAACAGGAATGGAAAGATCCACCGCATGAATCCTCATAATTGGGACTTGGATGAAATCACTGACAATCCTTTCAGTGTTTTTTGTGCCTTTGCAGGAATGGACGGAAAATTGTATGCGACAGAGAAGGGTGAGATGAAGATGTTTGACCTCGAGAAGAGGAAATGGAATGAGGGGCCCAAGCCCCCGGAGTATCTTCAATCCTCGGCGACTACAGTTTCCCACGGATCCATATTCATCTCCGGTGGGAGGAATCAAAAGAATGAAGTTCAAAAAAGTGTATTTCGTTTCTCGGTGGAATCAGGGGAATGGATACGACTCAGTGATATGAAGTATGAAAGGAATTCGCTAGGAGCATGTTATAAGGACTCTTGCTTCCACGTTATTGGAGGATATCCAAATAATAGAAATAAACATGAGAGTTTGGATCTCCGTACGTCTCGATGGGAAGAACTGGTTCCCCTCCCGGTAGAAAGATATGCCCATGCTGTCTCACCTCACGAAGATCACCTTCTCTTGACTGGAGGAAACGACGGGTTTTTTTGTGAAAGCTCGGTGTTCGTGTATGATACAATAAAGAATTCATGGCGGGATGGGCCAAGAATGATGGAAGGACGGCATTATCATGGACTGATATGTTGGAACCGAAATTTGTATGGTATTGGAGGATATCCAAATTCATCAGTGGAAGTGTTTGATGGAACAAAATGGGAAATTATCAAGAAATACCATATCAGTAGTTTCTTTCGAGCTTGCCGATTGATGAATTGAGGAAATAAGTTGATTTGATATGACGAGAAACGCAACAAATCCAATTTCTTTCATTTATTTTGTAAATAAGGACCCATTTTTGAAAGAAAGGAGCAACGATTCCTTCCTCCTCTTATTTTCATTCATTTCCTAGAAATGAAGATGATTCCTCATTTCAATCACCAGAATTAATTTCTGATCACGCACGTCTAGGAGCTTTTCCATCCGCAAAAATTCGATTTCGGGAAATATGCATGAAAAATTGTGAAGAAGTATTAATACTCTCTTCCAACTTCATTTCGGGGAAATAAATAATGATGGGAATGAGGCTGAACAAAGATTTTCTTCCCCCTCCAATTCTCTCCACCTTTTTTCCGCTTTCGGGAGTAAAAATTCATCCGCATTCAAAAATATTATTCTTATCGTCAATAACAATAATAACGATATGAATAGGAATGTGACCATTTTAATGTAAAAATGATTAAGAAAACGCAATGCCGTAGTGCGCTCTTCCCGATTCATCCTCGAAACTCTATTTTTTTTTAATATATGAATAATTCATTCATTTATAGATGAAGATCTGGGAAATTCTAGCGAATGAATGAGAAGAAACGTTCCCAGCAAAGGGAGCACTAACGTTTCAGGGAAGAAATGAAATTCCTTTCTTCGTCGCATTTTCCTCAATAATGTCAAAATAATCCTCTTCCTTTTCGAGGGAATAAACAAAAATGAAAATTTCTCAGCTTCTAGCTTCCTCAATGAAGGATCATTTGAGAAATTCTCAAGCTCCTTTTTTTTTGGCTTTGTCGCGCGAAAAGGCACTTTATTTCCTAAATTGATTATTATGTTCATTCCTTTTTTTCTCCCGATGTGGGAATCGGAGGAAAAAGACCAACCAAAAGAAAGATATTCACGAGTAGGTCCCAGATGGTGCAACATTTTTTATTTATTTGAAATCCATGGCATTAGTAGAAAGAGAGAAAGAAATTGCATTTCGTTTATACAGCTTCGCGTCTAGGCTCCAGTCCCATCCCCCACGGTTGCGAGATATCGGCGTGGAGTTATGTTCAATTCAGTATTGATTCTGCTTTTATGTCTTTGTGACAACCCTTTATTTTTTATTGAATTGTCACAAATATATTTTATGCGATGAGATGCAGTAAGAATGGTATGAAGGTCATTCGATCAAGTACAATATTGAGGTTCCGTGATTGGACATCCGTACGGATAATGGCGGAACACATGCCTCACTCTCTCTGGGTCATTCTCTCCTACAGTCCTTGTGGAGATGGCTCTGGAACGTTATGACTAATCCCTTATCACGCTAACTTTCCTTATCATCAGTGAAAAATCCTGAAATTCCTAAAGTTCAGGAGTAAAGGGAAATTTTCCCCTAAGTCAAAGAGTGACATTCGTTTCAATAAATAATATGAGCTCATCTTAGGCCAGATTTTTCATCATTCTGTGGGTTAGGCCTAGGCCCAACCTCAGTGAATCCGGTAGTAAGGTAGCCAATTTTTCTCTAAGATGATGGAGATTTTCTTCTACCTTTCAGATTAGGAGTCATTTTCCTCAGACCCTGAGACTCTCAGAAATAAAGAAAGAGAATACAATTCCTTATTCATCCACAAGAGTCTGACCCAGAGACAATTACATTTCACCTCCTTTCATATCACCTTTAGGTTAATGCCATTCCACATACACCACATGGAAAAATCCAAAACGGGCCTTCTGGCCATTCCCCTTTGCTTCAGTTGGAGTCATTTTAGCTACTTCATGCTTCCATTCCATATATTTTACCCACTTCACTTTAACATTAAGTTAACCTATGCTGGAAGCCAACTTTTTTCTGTGATGATGGGGATTTTCTTCTAACTTTAAGGATAGGATTCATTTTCCTCAGACCATGAGACTCTCAAAACTGAAGAAATTCAATACATTTCCCTATTTCTCTGCAAAAATTTGACCCAAACACAATTACTTTTCACCTCCCTTCACATATTGACTGGAAAGACCCATGCTGAAAGACACTTGTTTTGGAAGCTGCAACATCTCCATGAGCTTCAGTGATCCCTGATATAGAGGCCCATAAGTGTTTTCTGTCCCTCTAACATGTTTAACACTCTAACTACCAGTTCTTAGAGAGACTTATGTGTAGCTCCTTCTTTAATCTCTTTCATTCCCAAATGAATTTCTTCCAAAATTTCATTATTTAGAATTATTGTCCTCTCTTCATGAAAATACACTGAAATTTTTCACGCTACCCCTTCAAAGCACAGTCTTCACAAATGCCTACAATTTTGTATCAATCTACATTGGACACAGAACATTTGTGGCAAGATTGAAACAAGTCATTTCAGGGAAGATGACACCATAAAGCCTGGGACATCTTTAAAACTGATCCCATTTCTCCATGTTGGAAGCTCCAGAGCCACTAAAAAGCGAATCCTTTATTTGCCTCTCGCTCACTTCCTCGTTCCATTCAGCTTGGTGCTCATGCTTCTTAAATACACTAAGCAAGTGTTAAATTATTACATTTTTAGGATGGTCCATTTTCAAATCTCATGATGAGGTTCACATCTAGCAAGAAAAAAAAAACAAATCATGGAAATAAGGAAGCAAGAAGTTGATGGAATTAGCAAGTCTAGGATTAAAACCTCTTATCGGTCTAACGCTTTGGTTCCATAGTATGATAGACACTCCAAAAGTTCTTGCCAAATCCTCTTAAATATACCCTGATCCTTTTTATTTTTGGTGTTGTTTTCAAGGAATTCTTGAGATTTTGGGACTTTTAGACATTTCTTGGTCAAAAAGATAAAGTGTTCTATGAGGACAGAAGTGGTCACTTTCAAGTCAGATCACCAGCACCTGCGTATATCTAAGGGTGAGGGTTTGGAATGTTTTCCAAAAGCGTTTAAACCTCATCTCATGGAGGAGAAAAAATTTTTGCAAGCCCAAAATACTTCAATTGCATCGACAAAATAGTCTGTGTGTCGCCACTGAGGCCTATTCCAGTCTGTCCATTCCTTGATAGTGGTTGGGAAAGTCGCTTGGAAAAGTCGCAATCTTCCGTTCCTTCTAGTAAAAATGCCATCTATTCGCGCTTGTTAATAACGGCATTAGTAGGCATCAGTAGCCTTGTATCCATGTAGCCTTGATTCTGATTTATTTCCCTATTTCCTTCATAGCCTCAGGTTTCTCGCATTCACTTTTTTATATTGTAGTTGCATTTCTTTATGAGCATCTGTGAAAAGTTTTTGCGCTGTTGAATTCACATGGAATAATCACAGGAATCGCAGATAAAGAATATATATTTCGACGTATCTTCAAAAAGTTTGAACAGAGAGATATCGGTTTCAATAAATGAGAATAGTATTCGTTCCAAGATGCGCTTTCGTGCGTTCTCGTCTCTTTTTCTTAGATTAATGTCGTGGAGGAAACTTTATTATGATCTGAAATAAAGAGGTCGTTGAAAAAAGAGGGAATTCCATCTTACACATAACGACATATCCCACATTCTTGCAAGACAAAACGCCCCCTCTTAAGGTCTCCTTCAACATATGGAGGATCAGCAAGCCCCCTCATCTCTAGAGAATGAAGACAGAGATAAAAGAAGTCATGGTACAGGAAGAAGGTCATCCATCGTTCAGACGTAAATATCTTCCAGAAATTGAAAAGAGCTTTGGAGCAACTAAGGCTGAGAAAAATTGTCATAACTTGATGATGGAAGAAATCATGAAAGATCTCCGGAAAAAAGTTTTGGAATGAAAAAAAAAGCTCCTTCAAAGGAGAATTCACAAATATCCACGCACTCAAAACTCCCGTCGGAAATACTGAAGTTTTCACTCGTTTAGTGGCACCGATGAACTTGTCAGTTCTCAACCTCAACCAACTGAACTGTAGAATCAGTTTATGTTGTTTTTCATAATAATTCCATATTTTTTGTGATGAAACCGTTGCCACGGTTTCTCCTTTAAGAGACGCGTTTTTCCACCTTGTCCGTGGAGCATAGGCTCAAAAATTTTGGAATGAAGGGCATGCTGAGCCCTTCATTCCGAACCTTTTTTTTCATAAAACCCCTTCTGCTCAAATTTGAGAGGTCCCTCTTCGAACCCTCCCACAACCCCTTCCCTTGGGACCAACATATTCATTGAATGAAATAATCCTTGACGAGGTGGCCCACAGGCTGATGCGGTCTTTCAGTCGCCACGTAATCAGTCTGCATCACGACGCCAAGCATCAATTCAAGGGCAGACCTCTTCCTGATATTTCCATTTGTTCAGCAGCTCCTTTCCTGCTGTTAAAACACGTGTTCAAGAAATCTATTGTGCAGAATCTTCCGCCACGTCACAATGGGCATCTGTGACGTCTAGTGGGGAGTAAACCTTTGGCCGTTCCGACACACGGTAAATGTTTTTCGTTGGTTCGATTTCAAGTTAAGGCGTTTCTATGTTTCTCGGTAAGTGAAACAGTGATCAGGAAAAGATACATTTATCAACCTTTGAGCTTAGACGAAAATTTGGGACGATGGGAAAGAGTGACTTGCGTGAGCATACGTCTGTACAAGTGGGAGTGATTAAGTTTTTCACAGCCTAAGGAAGGGCAGGTTTATTTAAGCCACATTGGATTGAAGTACGCTCGAACGTGACATGAAGGGAGGAAAACGGAAGAATCCACTGAATGGTCCCTATGTCGTGGAGCGTGTCTTGTCGAACGGGACGGACGAACTGAAGACTGTCGCCGGAGAGATTATTAAGCAGAAAGCCCATGGCAGTAATTTGAAGCACTGGTATGAAAAGTGTGAAGATGCGAATGCATCCCCTACTGAGTGCGAATGACAAAATGTGAATATCAGCCTCCGGTTTATTATCATTTGAAAAACTTCATCAACTGAGCTGATGTCACAGAAATAAATTATGTGAAAATGCATTTGTACGGAGAGGAGTCATTTGTGCGTGGAGGTAGTAACATTAGCGTACGCTGATATAACTATCATTGTAGAACGGGCGAACGCACAAAACCACTATGATAGTGAAGTCTGCTACGCAAAATTGACTACGGTAGTCACAACTGCGTACGCGAAAAACACTACCGTAGTCGGTTTTGACAGGAGTCAGATTCGCGTAGGACA